TTGCAGCATCGGTATCAATGTGTTAAAGAGGGCTGCTTATGTTGATTTGTACCCTGCAGTGAAGGAATCAGTGATGTGCTTCCTGGGCTTGGGGTGAGGGTGGAGATTCCACAGACAGTCTGTCTTTGTATGGCCCTAGGAGATTAGCAGTAGCATTCAAGAAAATTTGGTTTGACATTTGGTTTGGGGCCACCAGCAGTGTTCAGCGGCTGCTCTGGGCCGGTGCCGCGTGTTCTGGACTGCCCTCAGCGGTGCTCTGGGGCGGTGCTGGGTGCTCTGGGCCGCCCTCAGTGGTGCTTTGGGCACTCAGGCTGCATGCAGCCAGAGTCCCATCCACTGCAGCTCCGTGAAGCAGTTCTTTGCTCCCAGTCAGTTTATCTCACAAAAGTCGCTCGGGGTCCATTGTATGAAAGATGCCCAGGATCTCTGCCACAGAGGCAGTGCTAGGGCTCGGACCCAGACCCTCACTTTCTTGTTGTCTGTTGAGCACGGCATCCTTGATGCGCCGAGGTGAAACCCTGGGCAGAGGAGAAGCAAACCAGGGGAGTATAAGATTTGCCAGTGGAACCAGATTCCCAAGGAGGCCCAAGAATGCCCAGAGGACAGTGTGCAGTCACATTGGAGGACTGTTCTGTTCCCATGCCTGGGGGTGTTTCTGCTCTCCTTAGGAGTGAGCTGGTGGTGCTGGGATGCAGGCGGTGGTTGGGGTGCAAGGTACCTGCACTGCCAGCACTTGGAGCCCAGGGACAATATTCTTGTCACTTAAAAACTGTTTGGTTTTTTTTTTTTTTCCATCTTGGCCCCATGCTTGAAATGCTCCCTATAGTGGCTCTGGGCAGGCAGAGTCGCAGTGCCACTTCCAGTGCCCTGCCAGTCCTCTTGGCAGGGTCCCTCCCGCCTCACCCTTTTGCCAAGTTCATTTGAAAAAAGAATTTCATGATTGGAGGTTGAGTCTCTTGTTTACAATGGTGTGCCTGCCATTAGCTGATGCCCTTGCCTCCCCAGCACCAATGCCCAAGACCTTATCAGTGCCCTCTGACACCTCCCATCTGCCCCAGCATCACCCCTGGCCCAGGTGGTGGTTTCTGTTTTGTAATCTAGGCCAAGGGGTTCCATGGTTGGTGCTTCCCTCCCTCGCCTGTCCCTCCAAATACACAGATGAGCAAGAGCACCAGGGGATCATCCTCTACTGGCTTTATTTAGGGAGACCATGGCTCCAGCTCCTTTCCAGTTGCAAAAAACCACGACTTTCCCTTTCTCGTGACTGTAGCTTCACACGGTGTGTGTTTCATGGCTTCCTAAGCGCTCACCTGCCCTTGGACACTTGCGTTGCTCCATCCCTTAGTTACTGCAGAATGCTTCAGTGAACAGAGGTACGCATTTCTTTTCAAATTAATGGTTGTGTTAGTTTTTGTGGGGGCAGGCAGGGGGAGAATTCAAGAAGTGGGATCACTGGGTCATTTGGAAGAGGTTTGTTGTAATTGTGTTGTTAAAGTTGCTACGTTTGAAAGAAGGGAAAGAACATAAGACTGGAGAATAGGAGAGTGAGGCATGCTATTTCTGCATGGAGCTTATTTTTAAACCAGGGCCTAGTAATTGCTTTTATCTTAATTTTCTCCTTTTGTTACTTGCACATCTTTAATTATATTCATTGTAGAAAAATTAAGTAGTGGATAGATTCTTTACAGTAAGGTAAATATTATCTGTAAGCCATCAATCACATCCTTCCAGCAACACATGACTGAGTAAACTTAAATGGACATCACAAACAGTGGATCTTACAGTTCATTCTGCTAAGTAATAAAAATGGTGTGCAGGGCCAAGGTGATAGTCCAGTGAATAGGGCGCTTGCCTTGCATGCAGCAGACCCAGGTTCTTCCCTTATGGACTGGTGGTGCTAGATGCCCAGCGCCACCAGAAATGATCCCTGAGTGCAGAGCCAGGAGTTAACCCTGAGAACTTCCAGGTGTGGTGCAGACATGTCCCCTCCCAACCCCTCTCTCCCCCCCAAAATGACATGCAGCCTTTTGGGAACATTGGATTGTTGTTTAAAAGTTCAAAGACCAACCTCGAGTGGATGAGACAGAGCAGAGCATCATGCACAGCCTCCAGTGTAGCTGGGAGCAGGCACGGCTGCCACTCGGCTGTAATTTAAGTGGGCATTTGCTGGAGTAAAAAGCCAGACCTGTTCACAGAGTTGCTCCATTTAGAGGGTTCTGTTTCTGGTAGACTGTTCCAGTGACATCAGGCTCTGAGGGTGCAGTGCAGTTTATGACACAGATAAACCTGAGAAAGAGCTAAGTTCCATGCGACTGCATGATGTGTGATGGTACTCCCACAAGCTCTGGTTCCCTCGGCTCACTAGCTCTCCCTGCAGCAGGCCAGATCAGAGGGCTTCACAGCTGTGCCTGCCGCCCCTTCACATGGCCAGGGTTTCCCCCTGAATTCTTCCAGGTGCTTTTCTAGCTCACTGTGTCCATCTGGCTCCTGTGCAGATGGGCTGTGCTGTCCCTTCACAGCCAACCAGGAGGCCAACCTGCCTTTCAGCTGCTGAATTGCTTTGCACAGACACTCATAGTTGGTTACATAGGTGAATTCAAGTCAGAGTATAAAGGGGCCATCTTATAGGTAAAGGCAGACAGAATGTAAGTGGTCTTGAAGAACTGGCTAAGTAATTGGTGGAAGACACTCATTGCGAGTCTTTGAACTCCAGGTTTTTTGCCACTGGGTTTCTGTCACTAGGGCTTTCAACTCTGCTTTTTTCTAACTCTAGGTGGTCTGGTCTTGGTTAAATCAAAGGGTCATATTAGTAAAATTCGTACTTAACAAGAGCAAAGAAGTGGAAGAGCAGAAAGTTTTGCAATTCTGGAGATGTGACAGACATGTGTGTTAAATCCTATGTGTTTCTTTGTACATGTATTTAAGATATTTGTAGCAGCTACATTATGGAGTCTCTGAGGTACATTTTGTAACTTGTAGGAAATAGCATAATTTTGGAGGCGGGGGACCCTGTGATCGTGATCGGAAAAATGACCTACTAGAAAGGTTGGTCTCGAAGAGCCTGTACATTAATCCTCAAATTCTCAAATGCAGCGTGAACCTTGCAATTGATGTTTAGTTTGCTTGCGCCTCTCTCCACCCCCTTTGCTTTGTGGTGTTTGTTTGCCTCTTGATTTTAACTCATCTGAAGTTTTAAGCTTCAGTGAAGGTAAAGAGAGCACATGCTATCTTGGTGCGGGAAGAGGTAGAAAGACGTAGAGAATTGAGGCATTGATGTCCAGTAGTGAGAGAAAAAGGTTGTTTTTGGTTTTTTTTTTTTTTCCCAAAAGACTATTTTAAAGACTCTTAAGGTGGTTCCAAGGGCTAGAGGCTAGAGGCCATCCTTTGCCCTCTGAGGTCTGGGTGTAAGCCCTGAACTCCGATTTTGTAGTACTTTTCAGAAATAATCTTTTGACTAACAATTGATTTTTTTAGCCTCAAACAGCTTTTCTATCTCTAGAGACTGGGGTGAGTAATCATTTCTTGTTAATTAACTGAAATGATGTATTGAGATTCCTGCTGAGGGTCCCCAGCCTGGCCTACTGCCGCCTTAGAGCACCTTTGGAAAGGCTTGTGGCATTATGGAAATTCATCCTATGTTGCCACTTGAGTACCAGGTCCCCAGTAATTCCCCAGGGCATTGTTATAAGTTTTCAGCGCTGATGTTTTTGGATACTAAGAAATATGCCCTTCTATGGTCCCCTCTGCGGTTCACCCCTTTTCTCCTGCATCCTGGATCTGCTCACCGTCCCATCTTCATCTCTGTGACCCTGCACCCATGGTTCGTGGCCTGGGCTACTTCCCCCCTGCCCTTTTTTTGTTTTGTTTTGGGTCCACTCCCAGTGGTGTTGTGCAAGGCAGGTGCAGGTGCCTTCCAGCGCTACTGTCACTCTGTCCCCAAGCTGCTTTTCTTTCTTCATGCTCAGGGGTTCCTCCTGGCTCTGCACTGAGGCATCACTCCTGGCAGGCTCTGGGGACCAGTTGGGTTGCTGGGGATTGAACCTGTGTGCAAGGCAAGTGTAGTAATCACTTCAGATCCCTGAGCCCTGGGTGGGAGGGTGAAGGGTTCTGGGCGCTCCTGGTTCCTTCCTGGTCCTTCCCACAGTGCTCACCGGAGCCTGCCCAAGATCCCCTTCGCTGACCTGAGTCCTGCTCCCATCCACACACTTGCCCTGGGACACACTCCTGCTCACCACGCCGCCACAGCAGCTGTGTCTCCAAACACCAGCCCTAGTGATGCACTGTTGGACCGGGAGAGGAGACCACAGCTGGTGGCAGCTGCTGCTCCACGCAGCAAGGCAGCCCTGGGGCAGGGCGGGCTCCAAGGGGTGGGACCTGCCGCTGGGCTTCGGACTGCTGCCCAGGTGGGCTGGGTTTTGCCCTCCTCGGCCTCGACTGATGCATCCTGCTCCTCTCCAGCGGGGGCTCCCTGTGTGCTGCTGACTCTGAGTCAGTGTTTTATCACCTCCTGGCAAGTTTGGGGCAGAACACCATTTGCCAAGCCTCCTGTTTCGGCTGCCTTTTCTTTTCCCCTGACAAGAAGAAACATTTCCTTCTTACCTTTACCACATGATTCAGAAGAAGAGTGTAAATTGAAACCAGTTATCTTTAAATGTGCTACAGGAGCACATTGTTTATACAAGTGAAATGAGTTGTAACAAGGGCTGGGTCTGATCTGCAGGCAGTGTTTCAGCCTCTCCTTCCCTTTCCTTCACTGCAGGCAGCTGGCCCTCAGGTGTGACCATGGCCAGGGCAGCCTGGTCCCCGATGGGTGTAGAGAGCAGGGTTTTGATGTTTGCTGTTAACAGGGTTAGCATAGCCAGTGGCAGTAACTAGAAACATCAGACATACTTTTTCCTTGTGCATGAAAGTGTGCCTTGCCCATCTTTGTGAGATCACCAATAGATTGAGAGCGGGAGGGGGTTTTGCTGATGCTAATCAAATTCTGTCCCAATTATCAGTTGGTGGACGAGTGAGTCGGGAGTTAAATTACACTCGCCAGAAGATTGGAGAAGAGGCGATGTTCAACCCTCAGCTCATGATCCAGACCCCGAGAGAAGAAGGTGCCAACATCCTGACCACAGAAGCGCTACGGCAGCATCTGGACTCCGCGCTCCAGGCCAGCCGGGTCCATGTGTACATGTACAACAGGTGAGGCCTTGGTCTGGGCCACTGTCCTGGTAAACATGCTTGCCGGAAATACTTACCAGGCCTACTGCCTGCATGGTCTTTCACGTATCCTGCTGCATTCTTAGTATCAGGAAGCAGATGGTGATCTGTACACCCATTCTGGAAAAGTCACTTTGCTTTAAAGGATGGTGGAAGGTTATAGTTTCACTGAGTCAGTCAAGTTACAAAGTGTGAAAAGAAACAGGGCACTTTTTCCATTTTTGTACAGGTACAGTTGGGTGGGCAGGAGCGATAGCACACCAGTAGGGTTTGCCTTGCACGCAGAAGACCCGAGTTTGATTCCTCCACCCCTCTCGGAGAGCCCGGCAAGCTACCGAGAGTATCTCACCCGCACAGCAAAGCCTGGCAAGCTACCCGTGACGTATTCAATATGGCAAAACACGGTAGCAACAAGTTTCACAATGGAGACATCACTGGGCCTGAGCAAATCGATGAACAATGGGAGGACAGTGACAGTGACAATTGGGATATGTTAGGAAAACAAACAGGGGTTGGAGGCACCTGCTGGCAGGCAAATGTAGAGTAAGGTGGCTTCATGCACATCCTTACCAGTACAACTCTTGAGCTTTATATTTAAATTCAGCAACATTGCCATTTTAGTGAGAGCATTAAAGAGATTCTGATGTTTGCGGGTTCCTGTGCATCGTGTACTCCAGTCCTTACGTCAGAGGCAGCATTTGGAGTTTGTTTCTTGACTAATAGATTAAGCTCAGTCTTCCTGAGCAGTTTTAAGTAGTCTGTCTTGCTACTACAAGGAATAAAAACATGCTGCTTGCAGAGAAGGTTGTGGGTCGCTGAATGGGTAGGTGGGTCGATGATGGCTGCCAGTCCAGCTGGTAACTTCCACCTTGCTCTTCAGAGCTGATGTTTAGTCATAGAGTGGAGGGCATCATAGATGCCCTCAGACAGAGGCTGCCCCACACCAAATATTTCAGGGGTCAAGCAGGAGCTCTGACCAGCAGTACTTGAGCAGAGTTCTCAGCCTCTCCACACCCTGCAGGCCAGCACCTCTCCACACACCAGGAGTTAGAGCCGGGGCAGTCAGCCTTTGGTTACTTTCTGCCTACTCACAGGGTCCAGTCTGTGGCAGTGGGTGAAGGCCACTGCTCCTGAGCTCAGGAGACAGGGCTCCTTTTCAGAGGCAGTAGCCAGAAGAGGCTTCGTGGGAAGATGGTATCTTAGTAGCATAGACGGCAGGATGAAAGGCTAGATGGGGCAGAAGACCAAGACCAGAGCACTCTGGGATAACTGTCTACACAGAGCAGTTTGAAGGGGTGGGCTGAGAGTGCTTGGGGGACTCGGAGGTGCTATGGACAGCACAGGGCCATCCACATGCATGGTGGGACTGGCCTCCCACCGGCCAAGCCCACTCTCAGCCTGTGGCCTGTCTCCCTGGCTCCTGGAGGAAATTTTTTCATACTTGTTTTCTTGGATAGCTTGTCCATGCCCTTTCCAATTTCTTGCTCTTTTCTCCTTCCTGAGTCAGGCTTTCCCCAAATAAAAGCCCCTTTGTACAAAGGCAAACCTTGTGCAGCACTCTGCTAGGGATACTAAGATGCTCCGATCAGAGGAGTGATCGTCAGTATTGGGATTGTTGCCAGAGCATGTGAATAGACTCGAATAAGAACTCAGCCGGCCCTTCACCCTGCCAGGACCAGACCCCAAGTCGCCACCCACTGAGGCCTCCTCCACTCCCAAGCGGCCATGATCCCAGAGGCACACAAACCAATCTGGGAACCTCTGGACTTGATTACTAAAATACCAAAAATCAAAAATTGCATGGCCGCAGTAGCAGCCACGCGACATCACATGCTCTTCATTTTCAGCAATAGTAAACAAATTATCTGATGATGCCTAGGGCAGGTGTGATGGTCTCGGCCACTATCCTGGTGAACAAGCTTGCCGGAAAAACTAAGTTGGGGGAAAATTCCAAATAATAATAGTGGGTCTTTGTCGAAAATTTGAATGTAATCAAAGAGAGACTAAGGCGAAAATCATCTGCCACACAGGCAGGGGGCAGGGGTGGGATGGGGGGTATACTGGGGTTCTTGGTAGTGTAACATGTGCACTGATGAAGGGATGGGTGTTTGATCATTGTATGACCAAGACTTAAACCTGAAAGCTTAGTAACTGTTCTCAGAGTGATTAATAAAAACAAACAAACAAAAAGGTGAAGTGAGGTCTATAAACCTCATTCATAAATACTGCAAATTCACAATACAATTATATGCACCTCTTAAAAAAAAGAACTCAGCTGGGTGGAGTGTATTTACAGCAGGAAGTTTCTCTTGAAACACTGATGGGCATTATTACTTCATAAAACTAAGCCAACAATGTTTATAATATAAGGTAAAGGTAAAGGCCCTCCCGTTGATCGTCGGTTTGCTCGAGTGGGCCCAGTAACGTCTCCATTGGAGACTTTGTTGTTACTGTGTTTGGCATATCGAATACTCTCGGTAGCTTGCCGGGCTCTCCGAGAGGATTTAAGCTTTGATAATTTAGTCCCTTCTTATTTTGAAGGACTTATTTCTGATTTGTGTGGGTTTTGTTTGTTTGAGGGCCACACCTAGCAAAACTTCGGGGTTATACCTGGGTCTGCACTCAGGAATTACTCCTGGTGGTGCTTGGACCATATGGGATGCTGGGGATTGAACTTGGATCAGCCATGGACAAGCCAAATGCCCTATCCACTATTCTATCACTCCTTCCCTTATTTTGAATTTTTGATAATTCAGTTCTGAATTACCAGCCCTGAAGCTGGTTAATACAAGTAGAGAATCAGAATAATAGTGTAAACAAGATTATTGGGTGAACACTTAAGAAAACAAGACTTTTTAAGTACTTTGGTAGTGTTCATTTACATAAAGACCCATGTGTTAATTATAATTTGGTATCACCTATTCATTAAAGCAAGTTTGTTAGGTCTCTAGTTGGCAAAAGCTTTGCTTCTTTGAACAGATACCTAATAGTGATAGAAATAGAGGTTTATATATATATATATATATATATATATATATACACACATATATATATATTCTGGTTTTGCACTAGTCTCATTCAGTACAGTGAAAACTTTTTAACTCTTTTTTTAATAGGCAGTGGAAATTGGAACATTTGTGTTTCAAATCTGGAGAACTCATCACAGAGACAGGCTATATGGATCAGGTATGGTTTTTTATTTGCAAAAATATTCTCAAACACCGCATAGTATGTATAGCTTAATTTGTGGTCTATTCTCTTTGAATTTGACAGATAATAGAATATCTTTACCCTTGCTTAATTATTACACCATTGGACTGCTTCTGGGAAGGGGCGAAACTACAATCCGGGACAGCATATTTACTGTAAGTGTGTGATCTTGTTTTCTGGTGTCTATATGATTTTTAAACTTTAGCTTGTTTCCAATGCAGTGTTATCATGTTTTATTTCATTTCAGTTTTGAACAAGAAATAAAAACATTGAAATTCCAAGTGCATTTTTTGAGTGAATAGTTGAAGGAAAGAAGCTTCAGTACAATGTTTTTCCTCTTTTCAAAAAAAGGTTCTGTAGACATCATTAAATTTCATTCACTTTTACCAGCCTATTTTAATGCAAATAAGATGCAAATTGTCTCTGAGTATGTGTGATATTTAACTCTTTAAAATGTTCTGAAGTTTTGTAGGCCAGGCTTTTGTATAGGCTTGGCTAATTTTTTTTTTTTTTGTTTTTGGTGTGTGTAGGGGCAGGGGTGGGGGGGACTAAATGTCAGAACTAAATATTTTGAGTAAAAGTTCAAGTTCATCCCTGTGGTAATATGCTGATCCTACGTGGGGTTTAAGTGTCATTAATGACATTTAAAGATGAAATCTACTGTCTTCCAAGGTCATCTAAAAGCTGCAGCAGCGTTCAGCAGTTGTATGTAATAAACACCATGTCATTGAAAGCATGATTGTTCATCACTGTGGACATTTTCAGTTCATTATGCAAGAGTTAGCGCTTGGGTTATTGTTTCTCTCCTAGCTTGCACATATCTGCAAAAGCAATTTGCAGTGGCCATACCCTGACCTTCAGTGTACAGTTTTAGATGGGAAATAAGGGGGTTTGTGTTTTCTGGTTGGGAGATTCTGAATAATGACTTCAGCCTGGTTAAGCAGCTACAGTGTGGTTGGAACCACATAACAGGCAGCCAAAAGCCTTTCTGGTCTGTCAACAGCACAGATTCAAAAGTGAGTGTCGGGGAAGCGGTCTTGATGGCCGTGGTGGCCAAGGCAGCGGGCAGTGCCAGTGTGTCAGAGCACTCTGACATAAATATGGGATTATTAAAGGTAATGGAGATCAAATATTTTGATTAGTGACACTTGCAAGGCATCTATTAGGCTGGTAAGTGCTAATTTTTTCCTCTTTTCTCCCTCTTATTGTGTGTCTCAGTCTTTGAGATAGCAGCACCTCTAGCTGATTTGGGTTATGGATATTAATTATGGCATCAGGGAAATAAAGATCCAATGATGCTATTGTTGATTTGTAAGTTTTCTGCTTGCCTTCCATACTCAGGACCTGTCTTACCGACTTGCGCTTAACATGTAGCTGTGCCAGAAAGGAGCATTTGTTTTCTGTTCCAGGTTTGCAAAATCATATTATTAACAGAAAAGCCGCATGCAGCTTGGCTGAGCTCTTGTCAACTTGTTATCTCGCTGAAGGGTTGGAAGCTTCTTTTCTTTCTCATTGTCTCACCTCCTGATTTTTTTCACAGAGGTAAGCCCCCTCTGCAGTGGACAAACTTTGACCCCTTGGAATTCCTAGAAGAGTTAAAGAAAATAAATTATCAAGTGGACAGCTGGGAGGAAATGCTGAATAAGGCTGAAGTTGGCCATGGTTACATGGATCGACCCTGCCTCAATCCAGCCGATCCGGAGTGTCCAGCCACGGCCCCCAACAAAAATGCAACCAAAGTAAGTGTGGCCGGTGGTTCTTATGTCAAGGGGTGGAGAAAAGCAATTATGATTACTTCCACTTTTAATTCTTATTTTTCATTTTTAAGATTTCATTCTCTGCAACCTTTTTTCCTCTATAGTACTAAGTTTGTTTGTGGAGCTAAATTTTGCTGTAAGATTTGCCATACGCCTCTCATTAGCCTTGTTATAAATGTTCTCTTGGAAACAAACAAGCACTTAATGCACTGAATTTTAACAAGGCATGTGACTTGCCTACTAATTTCTGTAACTATGTGGCTGTCTTTTTGTTTCAGCCCCTTGATATGGCCGTTGTTTTGAATGGTGGATGTCATGGATTATCGAGAAAATATATGCACTGGCAGGAGGAACTGATTGTGGGTGGCACAGTCAAGAACAGCGCTGGGAAGCTGGTCAGGTAACCCAGTGCCCAGGGCACCGTGGGGCTGCCCTCCTGCCTGGCCTGAGAAATCACATCCCTCAACATTTGCATGTCTGGTGTACAAGCCCTTCACTGCTCCTGTGCCCGCTATCTCATGTTAGGAAGTGTCAGCAGGCTAGGCCACTTTAAATATGTTCAGGATTGGGTTGGTTCTCATGGAGACTGCTCTTAGTCACCATAGCATTAGAGATCTGATTGCTTTGTCAAAAGTCGGGTTCTTCATGCAAGAAACATTAGTCATGACATCTAGACTTAAATGTTGTCTAAAAGGTGTCTCGCTAGCCTTTTATTTTGTTTGGGTTTTTGTTGTTGTTGTTTTGTTTTTTGGGTTTTTTTTTCTTTTTGGGTCACACCCGGTGATGCTCAGGGGTTACAACTGGCTCTGCATTCAGGAATCACTCCTGGCAGTACTCGGGGGACCACATGGAATGCTGGGAACCCAACCCAGGTTGACCGCATGGAAGGCAAAACACCTGCTGTGCTACCACTCTAGCCCCTCAGCTACTTTAAGAGCACCTCAGGAAGTGGCCACTGTGTTCTGGACTCCAACTGCCCACCATGCTTGTGTTTCCCCAGGAGAAACTGCCCAGCCCAGCAGTTTGGGCTCCCTGGGCCTTTACCTCTGTTGTCTCATTGACAAGGAGCTTGTCTGTTTTATTTTGGGCCTATCTGTGGAAGATATGTGGGGTCCCACCTGTAGCATGGTCCTTCTGTTAGCTGCGGCCCTGCCATGTGTTCTAGGACAGACAGGCTCTGTAAAAGTGAGGGGTCCGTGGGGGGGGGTGTGCTTACTCTGTGGGGCTCACTGTATCCTTCTCACTCCCGGCACCACACAGAGCCCAGGCCCTGCAGACCATGTTTCAACTAATGACCCCCAAGCAGATGTACGAGCACTTCAAGGGCTACGACTCCGTGTCCCACATCAACTGGAATGAGGACAAGGCGGCCGCCATCCTAGAGGCCTGGCAGAGGACATATGTGGAGGTAAATCAGTGCCTTCCTCCCCGCCACCTTTCAGTCTGGGTGCAAATTCCTCAGCTACAAAATGCTTCTAGCAACTCTTTTTTTTTTTTTAAGAAGAATCATTAGTTTTTCAGTAGGCTTCATTTGTAAAAGATGATAAACGCTTTTGGTGGGCTGGAAGCATTTCCCCTCTCCTCCCTCGGTGGTGAAAATGCTCAGATATCCAAGTGGTGCAGATTTTAAGTGGGAAGCCCAGAGCCAGTTCGAGTGGCCAGTCGTTAACCTCAGAGCTTGGGCATAACGACAGTGTTTAAGAAAACAACTTGGTTAGCAAGAGGCAGTATCTGGAACACATTAGCGAGGCCTAGAAGCCAGTCCCAGCTGCAGGCCCAGACAGGAGGTGGCCTCTGTTTCCCAGCAGTGACCTCCCCTGAGTTGACTGTGACCTTTTGAAAGTGGCCAGCAAACGAAGGTGGAGGGGTATGTGGTGGAGGGTGGGTGCCGTCGTCTCAGGGAGGTGAGAGGGCACAGGTTGGCTGTGGGCGTGGATGGAGAGCAGGAAACGGTGGTGGAGCTCCACCGCGGCGGGCGTCCTCCAGCCCTTGGCTGCCTGTGCTAGCTCCAGCCCTCATGTCCTAGACGCAGTGTCCTCCCCAAACACCAGGGACCCAAACTCATTTCCCCAAGTTCGAGAGTATGCTGGAGCCTGTCAGGAAAGTGCCGATGGAGCCTGGTCTTGTGGCTCCAGCTTCTTGGCCGAGCTCAAGGGCTCTGGGTTCCAGTGGGGCTTTCTCCTCGTGTGCTCCCCAGGTGGTCCACCAGAGCGTCGCCCCAAACTCGACTCAGAAGGTGCTCTCCTTCACCACCACCACCCTGGATGACATCCTGGAATCCTTCTCGGACGTCAGCGTCATCCGTGTGGCCAGTGGCTACTTGCTCATGGTAACGGTCCATTCATCGCTCCTCGGGACGGGCAGGGCCATGGTTCACTTGGTAGTTTTGACCATTCTGTGGTCATGCCTGCTTTCAGTGCTCCTCACCCCCAAGCTCTGTAATGGTTTATAAGGTGGTCATGGGAAGCCGTGTTTTTCCCCTTTGCAGCCTTGTCCCTCTATGATTTGTATCATTTTGTGTGGTGTCTGGAATGTAAATTTTTGTGGTTGGATTTTATAAATTGTTACCTTTGGGTTGGGGGCAATGTGTGGGGAAACATTAGAATCCTGACTTATTCTGATGTTTGGCTCTGTTTTTGTCGTCCTCCCCCACCCTCCACCCCGTTCTGCTCGCAGCTTGCCTACGCCTGCCTGACCATGCTGCGCTGGGACTGCTCCCGGTCCCAGGGCGCTGTGGGACTGGCGGGCGTCCTGCTGGTGGCACTCTCGGTGGCTGCAGGACTCGGCCTGTGCTCATTGATCGGGATTTCCTTTAACGCTGCAACGACTCAGGTACTGAAGAACTGCCAGGTGGGGGATGTAGAGCAGCAAACTTCCCGAGGCATGCCTCGGCCACGCCCAAGGTGTCCCTGTCACCTTCCGCTAGGATCGAGTTCAGTCTCCCAGTGGGCCAGATGGATGGGGCAGAGGTCAGAGTGGACTGTTGACTGGGGAACCTGCTTTTCTTCCCAGCAGACGCCAGTCATGGTGATAGTGTGGCCCTAGAGCTGGGGTGTAGGGCCAGACAATAGGACAGCGGTGGGGCTCTTGCCTTGCATGCAGCCAACGCAGGTTTGAGTCCCGGCATCCCGTCTGATTTTCTGAGTAGGAGTGATGCTGAACACAAAGCCAGGAGTAACCCCTGAGCACTGCCAGTTGTGGCCCACAAGCCAAAAAAATTAATAAAGCTTAAGTATACATTTGTGGGCTTTGGGGACACACCTCTTTGACTTACTGAAATAGTCATTTTGGGGTGCGGGTAGAGAATGTAAATTGAACTCGAACCATTGACACTGGGTCAAGTCCTTGAGACTTTTCTGTAGATGAATTAGTTTCCTTCTCACTAAGTGAATTTTTTTTTTTAAATAAAACCCAACAATTTAGAAACATACAACATAGAAACTCCTGGACTTTGGGAATTTACTAACAGACAAAATGAAATCATTTCCATGAGTAAGTGGGAACTGCCCTTTCGCTAGCTCTGGGCATGGGGCTCTAGTGATGTTTGTATTGACTTGAGACCAGCCAGAGTTGGCCCTCACATGTCTAATGCCATTGTCCTCGATTTTCACCACAGGTTTTGCCATTCCTTGCTCTTGGCGTTGGTGTAGATGATGTTTTTCTCCTGGCACATGCGTTTAGTGAAACAGGACAGAATAAAAGAATCCCTTTTGAGGTAATGAGAAAACAGAAGAAATCTTGGGACGGTCCAAGATCCCTCTGGTTCTGAACACCATTATCTGTACACACTGTGAGCAGCACAGGTGTGTGCGTAAAGCACTGAGCATCTCCCCACGCCCATGTCCTGGGTGAGACAGACCCCTTTCCTATCCCTTATGCCAACGTCAGAGCCCTCCATTGCCCTGTTCTTCACCTTCTGACTGAAGGTGCACTGTGCACCACTCTTAGCATGGTCATTTCTCATTCCTCATCCCCAGGACAGAACTGGAGAGTGTCTGAAGCGCACAGGCGCCAGTGTGGCACTCACATCCATCAGCAACGTCACCGCCTTCTTCATGGCCGCGCTCATCCCCATCCCCGCGCTCCGGGCCTTCTCCCTGCAGGTGAGTGTTGGGCCAGAGGCCCGAGTTGGCATGAGGACTCCCCCTCTGTTTTTGGGCGCAGTTGTGTTTGGTTTTGATTCTGCTGCCTGTAAGTGTGTTTGCATGCCTGACTTTGGATTTCTTCCAGGTGGTACCTCTGCGGTCAGTGACCTTAATATTCTCTTGCTTAAAAAAAAAAGAAAGAAACAATTTTTTTTTTTTGGTTTCTTACCCCCCCCCCCACCCTTCCAAACCGAACTGCCCAGATATCTGTGAACTTGTGTGTTCCAAAGCCTTTTGCCTTATGGAGTTGCCTCTTCCTTTATAGTCAGACTAAAATGGCCCTCCTGAACCCCAGTAAGCATTAATGCAGCCAACACCCTCCTACGGTATGCCATCGACGGGACCCGGCCAGCTTCCTGGCTGTCCTAAGTGTGCACGCAGCTCGCTTTGGTTCTTGTTTCTCTCCCTGCTAGCTGTTCCTCCTGCCCGAGAATCACCTGAATGCCCCACCTAATGCAGATGGGTCGCGCCGGTGAGTGTGTGAGCGGAGTGCTGAAGTGTTGGACAAGACAGTGTCCACACGCACTAGCCCAAAGGGGTTCTGGGATGGGACCTCCATGGCCGCGGCCCCTGCCATGTCTCCACGCTCCACGGGCTCTTGGCTTTCAGTCCTTTCAGGATACTCAGAAAGTCAGGATTCTCCTGGACCCCATCTAGAGGTTTTTCTGGACAATTGCCCGCCTCTGCAGGAGGAGTACAGCGCTGGGAGCTGTGGCAGGCAGGAAAGGTTCTCCGTGCCTCCGTACCACTGGCGCTCAGGAGTCCAGAAGGCGCCAGGGCTGGAGTCAGTTCCTCAGACCTGAAACAATTGAGGATTTTTAGGAAGTTTGTTAGTGAATTCAAGTTTTAAGACTTCGGCTGTTGCGAAGTAATATCGAAGGAGCATAAGCTTCCCCCTTTCTCTTACACCATGATGATGTATAATCCGTGAGGCAACTTGTGTTTAAAGGAAAAGGCTTTTGGTGTACTTCCTAAACTGTTTAAATTGACAGCCAACCTATGGGGCCGGCATTAGAACAGATTTCTGAAGTTTATATTTTTTCAGTGTTTTAACTTTTTTCCAGTCTTTGTGTTTGAATTTGACTCTCCTAAATATAGATAAATGCCTGAGCGACCTATGGCCCTACTCCGCTAGGGGGACTTATTCTGTGTAGCATGCCACACAGTGTCAGAAAGTAGTGGGCATCGTACCTTCATGACTCAGAGCTTGGGGACGCCGCAGTGGTGGGCACTGGGAGTTGGAGGCCCCCTCCCCAGGTGGCCAGCCCCTACTGTCTTCGGGCTGCACGACAGACACCCCCTCCCGAGGCTGGCCAGTGGGCCACCCATGTCACCTTTCCTGCTTGCTTTTTTTCCCCTCTGTCAATCTGCTCGGCCTCACAGTCGTCCTTTGATTGTCCCTTTCTCATTCTCTCCTCTCCTCTCTCAGTACACACTGGTTGATGATTCATCAAGGCATACTCTTCTTTAATGATATCCTATGGTGTGGTGGTCTGAAAAGCTCCATGAATTTTTCTTTCGCCTTTTAGAAAATCCAGTGCACTGTGTTCTTTCAAGGTAAGCACCATAATGAGATGCAACAAGTACTGTTTGTAGTTCTGTCCCCAGACCTGGGGTAGTCCCTTAGACAATTGCAGGTTCCAGAAGTGCCACTTATGGAAAAAGAACGGCCTCCTGTAACCAGCCTCCTTTTCTTGGCAAGAGAAAAGAGGAATGAAATGTAACAGAAAAGAGCCTAGTACTCTGGGCATTTCTGGAATACCCACCAGCAACTTCATACCATCCCCCTTTCTGTTTTTTGACATTTGAGGTAACCATTGGGTAACTTCCCTCTCTGTTCATGAGCTCAAGTAAGTTCTGACTCTGGGCACTCATCTTTGTCTCCAGAAATCAGATGTTACTTATTTTAATCCTCTAAAGAGGTGGTTCTGTTCATTTCCCCCCGCCCCCCCCCCCCCCCGTAAGGAATTTTTTTCCCTGTGAAACCTGGGGCAATTTTGTAATATAAACAAAATGAATAGAATCTCCCCCTAAAGACATGCTCGTAGATGTCCCTGTCAGGGTCCATAGGTGCAAATATCATGTCTGAGCCAGAAAGTAGTGGCACTGCCCCTGCAGTCTCAGTGACCTCTCCACTGTGGCTTTGCTGGACAGTTGGTCAGGGCTGCCCGGGGCAGGGTCTCAGCAGGGAGGGGAGGGTGTTTCCCCGAGTCCTCAAGCCTTCTCGACAGTGTGCTCACTGCAACCTGTAGCAGACTCAGTCGTGTTCAGGGCACCTCCTCTTCCTTCCTGAGAACTCCTTGCTGTCTGTTTTTCCTGTGTTAATGCTCTTTGGCATTGAGATTCTGTTCATCTCTTGTTAGAAAGTGTTCTCCCTGTTGAGTGTTCGGGGTGGGGAGCTGCCATGGGGTTCTTCTGTCATTCCCTCCAGGAAAGTCACCAAACCTCCCCTGTTTTCTTCTGTGCACAGGCGGCAGACTCTGTCCTTCCATGCTATGGACAGATCACAACTGTGCCCAGAAACCAGCGGGCCCAGCGGTGTCTTTTATTCTCCATTGTTCTCTGGAATGGAGAGAGGTGGTTTGCTGAGGTGGGCCCAGAGCTCTCTGCATGTGAACATGAGTAGAAAAAAAAAATGGGCATGACCCCCCTCCCCACCATTAGTTTCCGGGGGTGAGGGGTGTGTGCTCCGCGTGTGCTCTCCACCTCTAGTTCATTTCCAGGGGTCAGGGGTGTGTGCTCCGTCTGTGTTCCCAGGGTGCCTGCTGGCTGGCCAGGCCTTCTGATCTACTCAGGATCCCATTCAGGAGGCAGCCAGACCCAGTGGGAGCTCCCGGGTCGCCACTGGCCTGGATTCTCTTCCTGGTGGCTACGGGCAGGTGTGGTCACTCTCAGGGGCAGCACTGCCGTGTGTCTGGGCTAGGGATGGGTCAGACCCCTCGTGCTCTCTGCCCTGCCCCACAGAATCAGAAACCCCGGAGCCGTGAGCCGCCATGCTGACCTGGACTCCTTCACACATGTCTGTTTGCTCCCTGACTGGCCCCTCACTCATCCACCACTGTGCCCAAGCACGCATCTCACTCATCTGTGAACACATGTTCACTTCCCAGAGCCCTTCAGCCACTCTGCGGGTGCGTGCATGCGTGTGTGTGTGTGTGTGTGTGTGTGTGTGTGTGTGTGTGTGTGATGCTGAGGACAGAGCCGGTGGCCTCCTGTGGGTGAACAAGCTGTCTCTGAGCTGCATACCTAGCCGCATGAACCAATAGCCTTATCACAGTATTTCGAGGATGTGTATGTGTGATGGACTCTCGTAGAGTTATACACAGGGCGTGCCTCCAGGCACAGGAGTTAGGGGGCTTTGAGGAGGCGCGTGGCTAGTTTGGGTTTCAAAGCCTCCTTGGACATTCACAGTAGAAAGACATTGCTCTCAAACCTGGTCCCGCCGGGCCATCGTGACAGAACCCTGGGCACGGGCCGGGCCAGCAGCAGCCTCGACCCAGGGACAGAGGTTTCAGTCTTGGTAGTTCCTTGAGAAACTCCTCAGAGATTTGTAGTTTTCGGAAAATGCTGGGCCGCTTCCTTGGTTCCTTTGCATTCTGCTCGTCTCCTTGTCGTTGCCCGGCTTCTCGCTGCTCCCGGAGCCGACAGCCCTTCAGCTGTCCTCTGTTGACTTTTTCCTATTAACAGCCCAATTGTGTAATTTTTACTAGGTCAATGGGAGATTTGCCAAGACACTGCAGCATTTAGCCCCGTGTTTATTCTAGGTTATAGAGTGACTTTTGAATCTGTACTTATTTATTCTGCATACTATAATCACACACAAGAATTTCTTTCTGCTTAACTCTCCTTGACCTCTGGTGCTCGAAGCTGCGCGCCACAGCTCGCTCCAGGGCCGCTTGGAATGTGCCAATTAAAAACCTCGGGGGACGTGTTTGAAATTTTATTTCATGTTTGAAAGGTGACATTTGGATATAATCGGTCCTTTCACATATAAACCCTCTCAGTGTTGCATGAACTCTTAGAAATGTTGAGAGGGAAATGTCCCTTTCTGTTTTGCATTTAAACCCCTCCGGTGTGTCTGACTTTGTCGGTTTGGTTTAAGTCTGTCACTGGTAAGATGGTAGTTGAAGCTGCTCTGGGTTCGTGGAATGATCGGAGGTGGAAAGGGTCAGGTTGAGGGGACCTCCTCTGTCTGGCCAGAGGGTCTCAGCGCTGAAAGCAGCAAAGTAACAGGCGACCTTCAGCATAACTCAGGCTGGGGTCTCTGTAGGAGAGGAAAGACGCCATTCGCAAGCACCTTGTTTTCTCCAGGTAGACTCTGACTGCCGCAGTGTGTAGTGACATCAGCTTTCCTTTCCCTTTCTGCTCCCAGGCAGCTGTGGTCGTGGTGTTCAACTTTGCTATGGTCCTGCTCATCTTCCCTGCCATTCTCAGCATGGACCTGTATCGGCGCGAGGACAGAAGGCTGGATATTTTCTGCTGTTTCACAAGGTGTGTTTCTGGCTGCAGCGGCCGCTATTCACTGAGTGCATGCAGATTGGGGGCCTTGGGAATCCGAGCCTGTGCTCTCTTAGGAGGGAATGCAGCATGTGCTGGCGGTCGGGGAAGGGGGCACCAGGGCTGACGCTGGAGCCACATGGCTCCTCTCCCCAGTGAGAGCTTTCCTGGCCCAGCCCACTGGCCCCTCTCCCGCCAGCGCCGCAGGGAAGCTGCAGGCTCAGCGAGATTAGCCAGGAGGCCTCCACCCACTTCACTGTTTGCCAGGCAGACTCGGGTCTGCCACCCACCAGCCTCCATTGACCTATCCCTGTTGGTCTGCGACCCAAGTCAGATGCTCCGCATGGGGCTTCTCATTTTACACTGTCAGAAGTCAAGCTGCTTCCCGGACGTGGGCTTGGCTCCCCACTTGAGTGTCACAGCGTCTCCTCCCCCCTCTGCAGCCCCTGCGTGAACAGGGTGATCCAGGTGGAGCCGCAGGAGAATGCCTGCTTCCCGCCCCCGCCACCCTACAGCAGCCACAGCTTCGCCCACGAGACGCAGATCACCATGCAGTCAACGGTGCAGCTGCGCACCGAGTATGACCCACGCACACACGTGTACTACACCACGGCCGAGCCTCGCTCCGAGATCTCCGTGCAGCCCGTTGCCCTCACACAGGACCCCCTCAGCTGCCAGAGCCCCGAGAGCACTAGCTCCACCCGGGACCTGCTGTCCCAGTGCTCAGACGCTGGCCTGCACTGCCTGGAGCCACCCTGTACCAAGTGGACGCTGTCCTCCTTCGCCGAGAAGCACTACGCCCCTTTCCTCCTGAAACCCAAAGCCAAGGTAAGCGGCTGGGGGCCAGCCGAGGGGAGGGCTTCTGTGGGAGGGGTGGCTGCTTCTCGGTTCAGGTCAACTCTTCACTCCGAAACTCTTTAAGGAAAGAGGAGGCGAGGACTCTGGTCTCAAGCTTCTTCCCCTGGGGCGGTTCCTGGCATTTCCAGTTTGCGGGCTGGTGCCGGTCCACAGAAGAGCTCCGAAGTTGAGAGCCACTGGTCCCTGTGCAGTGTTGGCCAGGTGTGAAGCAGGTGTTTCTCCCGGTCTCACGCGGGCCTCTCCCTTTGTTGCAGGTGGTGGTGATCTTCCTTTTCCTGGGCTTGCTGGGCGTCAGCCTTTATGGAACCACCCGAGTGCGTGATGGGCTGGACCTCACGGACATCGTGCCCCGAGAGACCCGAGAATATGATTTTATTGCTGCACAGTTCAAGTACTTTTCTTTCTACAACATGTATATCGTCACCCAGAAAGCCGATTACCCAAACAGCCAGCACCTGCTCTATGACCTCCACCAGAGCTTCAGCGGCGTGAAGTACGTCATGCTGGAGGAGAACCAGCAGCTCCCCAAGATGTGGCTGCACTACTTCCGGGACTGGCTTCAGGGTAAGGCGCTGCCCGGTACGCTCACCTCCGCCCGCGAGCTGCCTGTGTTCCCTCTGCTGAGCCCCCACCCTGCATCAACAGGGAGACTCAGGTGGAGCCCCAGGTTGCAGGAACACTGGTGTGTGTCACTGACTTCAGAAGGTCACCCAAAATTCTTCCCTTGTGTTTTCTCTGGGGAAACTTCCCAAAGCTGACTTTTACCTGTAGAACTATTGAACAGGTGAAGCAGGGGATCAAGGACCTGGTGCGAAGGTCAGAGTGGGTGACCCTGAGCTGGGGCCAGTGCTTCTCATCCTGAGGCCTGGTTTGGAAGCAGGTCAGGGTGCTGCGTGGATGAAGTTTCCAGGCCAGCTCATCAGCAAGTCACAGCCTGCTTCCCTAGTGTATTTTTGTCTTGATCTGTAAATATACCTTAAAATTCCATACTTTGAATCCCTTTTGATTTTACCTACGAAGGAAACTTATAAATGCCTCATCTCATCACAGAAACAGTGAAATCCTGCTTTAGAACACCTTCCATGGCTCATAGCTTGCTCTGAGAAGCTTTTCCTAGAACATGATTGTTGGTGGGGAGTATGGATTTCTAAGTGTGCACTAAACTGTGCTGACTGAATATGGATGCATTTGGTGATTCCAAAGACATCTGTTCGGTGAAGTGGAGAATCGAGATAATTATTTGCTCAATTCAAGCAAAAATGCTTCCACTTTTAAATGGGACTCCACCAAATAATTATGGACCCAACATTTTTGGCTTGAGTTATCCAATCATTTGGATAATCATTATCTTAATTTCTCAATTAGGTTTGTTTAAATACAGATTCAAGTGTTCTTTTTTTGGTCTTGAATCAATATACTTTACATAAGGAGGAAACACTCCATTTCCCAGTGAGTTCACATGAAACAGAAAATTGTTCAGTAGTTTCTGGCCTGGGTTCATGCTCCAAGAGTTTCATTCATGCTTACATACCAAATTTTTACCTCTCTCTCTCTGTCTTTATTTTTTTTTGAAGAAGGCAAAGAGCAATATGTCTTTAATACTATTTTTTTTTCAAACATGCTCCTGAGATCCACTTCAATTTGCTCCAGATTAGATTTTCTACAGTCGTTGGTGAAGCAGTGGTTTTCAGATAATGAGTCAAAAGAAGACTAGACCGTTGAGAGATTCCTTGCTTTTCATTTTCCCCCCTTGGCCAAAGACATGCAAATAACTTGCCTGAAATGACAAAGATCTGCAGTGCCTCCAGTGACCAAGCAAAGGAGGGTCATTGTAGGGTGATTCCAGTGTCTCCAGCCATTCCTTTGGCTGCTCAGTTTGGCCTGTTAGGCCCAGCTTGGGGAGGGGCAGAGGGTCTTTGTCTCCGGGCAGAGGCGAGGCTAGACCTTTTATAGGAAATTATAAATTATTCCTATGCTTTCAGGCCTTGAAGGACCTAAAGCAGTTGGGCTCGCGTGTGAATCTGTTTGGGTTGCTGAGTGAATCACACCCACCTAGATCAGCTGAGAGCAGTCCCCTGAGTGGGATCCCAGACCAAGAGCAGCTTCTGCCCTAGAGGGCTTAGCAGAGCCTGCAGCCCAGGCTGGCCAGAGGGGTCTGCACTGCCTGGACATTCCTCAGGCTATTGAGTGGTTGATTTGTCTTTGAGCATTTCTTGCTTGGAAGTTCAGTTGCTCCTTCAGAGCACTCTGTGTGGTTTCTAAGTGGCTGCACAGAACCTTCCTTGGTTTTGAATGCTAATTCCATTCATGTCAGCCCAACTATCCGTTTTGGCCTTTTTAGTTCATCAAAATATTTAGAATTGAAAATTGTCATCTTGGAACATGTACACAGATAAGGTGAAGTTCCAGATACAACTGTGTCATATACAAATGGAGCTTGTTTATATTTCACTCTGAATTGCGCAACTGAAACAGATTCACATTCTTTTTAAGGCCCTTTATCTAAGAGAAAACAAGTATCATGATGATTAGCTCACAGCCTTTCACTAGAAAATAACTTTAGTAAATATTTTAAATCAGAAAAGTTTTGGCTAAGGTGTGTGTGTTTTGCTCCATCTCATTGCCACTGTCCTTTCTGTGGTGTGCAGGTGTCAGACTCCAGGGGACAAAGCCTGGTCTGTCCCTTCTTCTGTGTCCAGCTTAGACCAGCACTTTTACTTAGATTTCTTGGAATTTATCAGAAAGCAAAGAAGTGCCAGTTATGAAAGGACTTAATATTTCCTTAAAGTCAGTGACCGACTCCCATCCCTTCAACCCCAGCAGAGCAAGTGAGACGTGGTGTTTACTTGACCAGCGCAGTGACCAGTCAAATGAAACAGCCAGTGTGATGGACTCCCAGATTGGTTCTTCCTCTTCTGTGTCCATGGCAGTATTTCCAGACTGGGCACCAGACAGCCCTGTGCGTGCCCCAGGGTTGTTGGGGGGGGGGGGGGGGGGGGGGCTGGAAATCACAGTGAAAATCAAGTAAACTGGGGGCGGGGTCACAGTGAAAATCAAGTGAACATTGGAGGTGGGAGCACAGCATGAGATTAGGGAGCCAAGTTAGCAGGCCAGATACAGCTGATGCACACTGACCCGAGTGACCCCGCAGGCCCCTTGCCTGGACTTTGCCCATCTCTCCAGTGCTGGCACAGTGGGGCTGAGCTGCCTCCTCCTTCGGCGCTGGGGTGTCCAGGGTGATCCGCACCTCGTGACCCAGCTGCCCGGGCGTGGGTCGAGTGCCCCTCACCTGCTGTCTGGACCCTCCTGGGCACCCCAGGGCAGTGCCAGGTGGGACAGCCCCTGAGCACTAGCTGCGTGGAAGGAAGGGACGAGAGGAGCGGCCAGTCAGTGACAGATGTGCCGGCGTGGAGTGGAATGTGGGGGGTCTCGGGGCAGGCAGCGGCGAGGGAAACTTCTTGTTTTTTCCAAAAGCAGAAGGGAGAAAACCTCAGGTGCTAAAATAAAGCCCCATCCGTTGGCTGCCGCTCACTCTGCGCGTGCTTCCCACAGAGCAGTGGCCAGCGTGCGAAGCCAGCGCTGTCGAGGTCCCCATCCTCAGCTGGGTGATTGGGACAAAAATAGTGCCTGCAGCAGTGGGTGGTGTGATTTGGAGGCAGAGAAAGGGGCTCTGTTCCTCCACCCCCACTCCAGACCCAGGAGTGCTGTCCTTGGGCCGGGGAGGTACAGGGCTCTGCTTAGCGCGTGTCAGGAAAGAAACACCCCTTTTTCCCTCTTACCCACCATCCGTTTCTCACCGGGCCTGAGCCAGCTTGTTCAGAATAGCGCTTTCTCCAGCTTCGGAGCTTGCAGGTTCTACTTGGGAGGTGCTGGGGGGGGGCCCGGGCGGGGAGCAGGGGTGCCGGCGGGAAGAGTGCAGGGCCCCCGAGCCTCTCCAGCTGTGACCATGGTTTTGATTACAGAGGCCAAGCACAGCTGTGTGTGGTGGGCTGCTGGCTTGCCCAGCCCCCCAGAGCTAGAAAGCGTTTTCCTTCCCCTCCCCAGGCTTGCGGTTTGTCATCTGTTCTCACAGAGCCCCTTGTATTGGCCTGTGCCTTCCTGTTCTCAATCTGATCCGCATTTCCCCTGTGAGGTATTTCCCCGCACATACAGGCACACTCACGTGCTCCTGCCCTCGCCCGCCCTCGCCCGTGGCAGGGTGGCAGAGAGGAAGAGAACAGTCGGGAGTGAAGAGGCGTTGGCTGTGATCTTTACACAACCTGGCAGCTGAACCCACAGCTTGTATTAGCTCCACAAGTCAAACAGATGGAACAAATTGACAGAATCACGTTCACTCACCCTGGGCTGGAGAAGCAGCCGAGTTGCTGTTTGAAGTTGGGAATTTAGACGTGTGTGTGCATCCCCGGTGGAGTTCCTGGTCCCTTGAAGAAGCGATGGTGTAGCACGCCTTGGGGCAGGAAGTGGTTAACGGACATTGCATTTCTCACCATCAGTCAGTGCTCCTGCTGTCTCCGTCCCTCATTTTCTCCTTCATTTTTTCTTTTTTCTAAAGTGAAACCTATGTGGTTTTTGAAAAGCTCTTTCCTCCTTGCTGACTTTGAAACAATGATTATTAGGAACCTTTAATTCATTCATGAAGATGACGTAATAGTATCACTGGGCCTTCAAGCCGAAGCCAGGCACAACCCAGAGGGTTTGGTTGGTGTCCAGACCCCCAAGGTGGAGCGGGCCACCCTCTACACACCCCTTCAGGACCACTGGGTGCCATTGGCTCAAAGTAATGGATTATGCTTATTTCCTTTTTTAGGACTTCAGGATGCATTCGACAGTGACTGGGAAATGGGGAAAATTATGCCGAACAATTACAAAAACGGATCAGAGGATGGGGTCCTGGCCTACAAGCTCCTGGTGCAGACCGGCAGCCGTGACAAGCCCATTGACACCAGCCAGGTACTTGCATGGCACTGCCGCTGGGGTTGGGGTGCTGAGCAGGGCCCCGGGGACTCAGCCGTGCAGAGGACAGTTGGACTTTGGCAGATGGTTCTGGGCACACTCTGGCATCACAGTGGTAGAAACACCCAGTTATCTCCAGTTCCGTTGGTGGCACCAGGTGATCATGGGACTGCAAGCAGGCCAGAGAGGGCCTCTCTCTGCCCATCTGTGAACTTGAGTTTTCCAGAGAAATTGCCAGAACAACGTACACTGGAGGCAGCAGATGCTCCTTCCAATATTTCTCAGAGTTATAGTACTTTCTTTCAAAATCAATTGATTATGTTCACGTTCTTGATTATACTCAAACTAGGGGAAATGGCTGCACTGGATAGTCGTTACTAGAATGAGCAGAATTTGGGGTAGATGGGGGGTGTGGGGATTGGAGAAGCCACCGGATGGGTGGAAGGTTTGAGGCACATACCCCAGCATTAGGGAAAGGACAGGGAGTCTCTGTCCCGAGCAGGCAGGCAGAAAGGAGCAGTGCAGAGTCAGAATAGATTCACCCTTCTTCTCACTGACTTAGGCAGGGTGAGCTGATTCTCTTTGATGCTTGTATTTTCCAGCTAGATGCGTGTATACCATGCACTGGCATTCCAGAATCTTCCATCTGATTTCCTCTGGTGTGTTCAAGCAAATAATTCCAATACTGCTGCTGTCTTACCCAAGAAAAAGCCTATTTGTTCTTTGTCTCTGTATCTCACTTACTTCACCTCTGGGCAGAAACTGGTCATGTTAACAATTTCCTGGCAGTTCTGTGTATCACCTTTCCTCTTCTTGCTGGCTTTTCAAACAACAGTTCTACCACATGCATAGTTCTGAGCTGTTATGGAGGATGAATTTGATGCTTAATGACCACAAGTGGGTGGCATCAGGTGTGACAAGGATGTGGGCAGCAGAGCCAGCCTGAGGGGTGCCTGAGCAGCAGGTAGGACAATGCCTACATGGACCCCTGAGCAACATCTCCCACCTTGGAGGGTGAAGCAGAGACTGAGTGTGCTGGGGGACTCCGAGGGTGCTTGGGACATACAGGTGTTATGTATCTTGTAGATTAATTGAGTCCAGATCCCTGAAGTTTATTCTCTCATTCTCCTCCTGTCTCTTTCTTCACTCTTTATTGTTATCACTGTTGTTTTCATTGTGTTTTTAAAAAAATTTTAAAAAGACCAAAAGTGTTGGAACCAGGCCTAAAGTAAACAGGAAGACTGTGTGTGTGTGTGTGTGTGTGTGTGTGTGTGTGTGTGTGTGTGTGTACATGCAGAACCCTACTTTAGAGAGAAATTGTGTCCAGCCTCGTGCTGGAGAGGCATCCCGACTGTGACTGTCCCTCTCAGAAACCAGAAAGGCAGATCCAGGCACGCAGGTTCCGTCCACTTTCTGGCAGTAGACGTTTTTTTTTTTTTTTTCAAATCCACAGGTCATAGGAGGCTAGTGTTAGCAAAATTTATACAGATGTTGTTTTATTTTTATAGCTCTCCTCCATTTACCGGGTGGCATTTCCTTCAGTGTTAACAACAGAGGTTAACTGCACACAGACGTGCACGGGGATTCTTGCCAGGTTTTTCCCCCTTCCCCTTCTATAAATATATTTCTCCAGATTGTTCATTCTCTGCCTTGGCTGCAGACTGTCTCTTAGCATTCAGCTTTAATTGGTTCAGTTGATTCCCAGGCCATCTGCAAATCCCCGTGTTATAAACACACTGGTTTTTGCATCCTCTGATGCGTGCATTTTGAAAGAGAACAAAGGTGCTCGGATGGGATTTTTCTGCATTTTCAAACTGTGGGAACTCTATTCTTTGTTGCAAGTGCTTTTCTCTCGCAGTGGTGTTGCCCCCAACCTCGATTCTGAAAGCTCCTGTTTTCCCATTTTGTAGTTGACGAAGCAGCGCCTGGTGGACGCGAATGGCATCATTAACCCCACGGCTTTCTACATCTACCTGACTGCATGGGTCAGCAATGACCCTGTGGCCTACGCCGCCTCCCAGGCCAACATCCGGCCACACCGCCCGGAGTGGGTGCACGACAAGGCTGACTACATGCCAGAGACCAGGCTGAGAAGTAGGTACCACCCTGCCCGGACCCGCAGCCCAGAGGGCGCTTGCTCTGTCCTTCACTCGGCCACTTCCCTCAACTTCTGAAGCTAGCCAGAGTTCAGAAATGTAAACAGAGGAATAGATTTCTTTTAGCTTAAAACACCCGGAGACAGATGAGGCTTATAATGGAAAATGCCCCATTCTCTGCCGTGCTGAGAAATAGTCTCCTGTCTTTGACAGTAGCGTCAAGGCTGGGATGTATCCTGGGCATCTCTGCCGATTGCCAGCTGTTCCCTGTGCAAGGTGGGGACGCTTCTAGGTTGAGTGTTTTTTCACTATTGTAGAGTTTTATTACCAGGGATTATGTGTTTATCTTAGTTTTTGTCAGCTGTGGCGTTGAAGGAATTTTTTGGCAATTGGGTCATTCCTAGACACTACCAAGCACCTGTACTCTGTCAAAACTGTTTAAACTGGTGTAGACAAATCTGTATACAACAGCGTCCTCTTCCTTTCTCCTCTCAGCTCTGATTTTGAAAGGTGGTTCTGTGTGGATGTAATCTGCATTTCCATTAGTTATTCGTGGCTTTTCATTGGGATGTTTGGACCAGTTGGAAGATGCGGGGCAGAGGAAGGCGGAGCTGCTGGAGAGCAAGTGTGTTGTGCTTCTCTCTGTCGAAACCCCAGGCCTGTGGCAAGCAGCCAAGACTTGTCTTAACGAAAATTTATAGTTGAGATTGTAATAGGGCAAATCATGTTTAGCATGTCGCCCGGATGACCCCGAAGGATCTGGAACCCACAGCCACAGGAATTAAACGGCTGTATGAGGGTTCTCCCCTTGCTGCTGAGGCTTAACATTGCATTAAAGAGATGTGGAAGATTTAAATGTGTTAGATCTCTAGAAGAATAGGAAAGTTGAGCAGTTTCCTTCAGAGAGCACAACTTTTGACTTACTTTGCTCTCAAAAGTGAGTGAAATCCAGTTGTAGAATAACCGAAAAAAAAATCGTCCCAAAATTTTATTCTTTGGAGAAGGTTAGACTCAGACTAAAATCAAAGGTTAAATAAATTTACAAAGCACGAGTCTCTCTCCCCCTAAAAAAGAGGAAAGAAAGACTGATTGATTATTGTTTGGCTTTATAAAACTGGGCCAGGAGTGGAGCTCTGGTGGAGCATGTGCTGCACGTGGCTGGAGTTCTGGGTTTAATCCCCTGCACCACAAAAAGCAAAAGTTAGTGGGGAGGTAAGTGAGGCGGGGGAGAGATAACCTGACAGTCTGAGCACATGGAAAACATCTTGTATGTGGGAGGGCGAGGCTTGATCCCCTGCCCCACGTGGTCCCCTAGGCACCCCTGGAAATACCCCCAAGAGCCCCTTAAGTTTTAAAAATCGGATTGAAATTTTAAAAACCCAGAGATGATCATCCGTAGTGTTGGGGATTGATAGTGAAGGGAGCACAGGAGCAAAGGATTCTTGCGGAGCTTGCTAAGAAGTGGGGTGGGAGGCAGCGGGTGTGGGCACAGTGGGACTTGGCCACAAGCTCTCTTCTCTGCCTGGACTGTGTCTGTAAATCTGTGTTTATACTATCTCATGGAGCCCGTAACTGGCCTCTTCCTGTTGCTTCTCTGTCCAGTCCCAGCCGCAGAGCCCATCGAGTACGCCCAGTTCCCTTTCTACCTCAACGGCCTGCGCGACACCGCAGACTTTGTAGAAGCAATTGAGAAAGTCCGGACCATCTGCAACAACTACACGAGCCTGGGCCTGTCCAGCTACCCCAATGGCTATCCCTTCCTCTTCTGGGAACAGTACATTGGCCTCCGCCACTGGCTCCTGCTGTCCATCAGCGTGGTGCTGGCCTGCACGTTCCTGGTCTGTGCTGTCTTCCTCCTGAACCCCTGGACAGCTGGGATCATTGTGAGTTACTCTGAGGGTCTTTGTGGAAGTCACATTCCTTTCAGCATAGCTCTCTCTGTAGCCAGGAAGTTTTGTTTATGTCTGGGCTCAGGAGGAGGTATAGATTGCATCACTCCATACTCTATTTATTCTGCTTGAGGTGGCAAGGCTGTGTGTGTGTGGGGGGGGGGGGGGGGGGGTGGAAGCTTTTATGGCCTAGTCCTGTGCTCCCCTCCTACAGTTTCCAACAGTTTCGCTAGGATAGGTTTTAAGCACACATTCCATAACCACTCTGAGCTTTTATCAAATGCAAACACACAAAGCACAACCATTCTACTTTAATTCAGGTGTTATTTGTGACTGCAACCCAGACCCAATACATAGATTGTTCTTCTAAATGGAGGGATAGAGAGGTTCGACAGCATAGTTCAGATGAAATGGCTTTGCGTGGTATGTGTGTGTATGTTTTAGCTCTTGGGGAAATGAAAAACTGGTACCGCTCACCTATTGTTGGCAGACTTTCTCCAAATCGAATGCTCTCAGATTTGCAGTAAGTGTTACGTAGAGGCTTCTTAAAACCATGGCAGTGTTTAGCTTCCATGAACTGTGGTCTAACCTTCAAAATGCCAAAATTATAAAAACAAAGCCCATGTCTTGTTTCGGCTCTGTGGGTCTGCAGCACGCACGGTAGAAGGTAAATGTTTAGTCTGTAGTCGCTTTCATGGTCCTTAAGCAGTGGATGTTGTCCGTCTTTCATGAGCTTATTAACAGAGAGCAAAGGAACTCGATCGCGCTTCCCTTCCCTTGCCCGCACTGCCGCTCCCCTGCCCTCCAGAAAGCTCACTCTCCTTTCAGCCTATCTGTGTCAGGTTTATGGGGTTAATTGTATTTGCCCTCCTTCAGCCCAGCGAACTCTAAAGTCCACTGCACAGGTTTTCGTGCTCCCAGCAGATTTTTACAGGGCAGATGAAAGGCAAATAAAATCTTGTCCTTGGGCTTAACCGCTCACTTTGTCCACTCCAGCTGCTGCCAGGTTCTGCAGAGTGGAGGGCTGTAACCTGACCTGCGTCGGCTGACCACTCAGCCCTATCCCAGTTTAACTTGTTTCCATTCACCCTCAGCCCCTCTGCTCCAAACAAAAGCAAAGCCACTTGTCAGTCAGAGAACTCTCTCTCACTGCCCTTGGCTTTCTTTAGGATGGAGAGTCAACTAAGGAGTTTTTCACCCCCAACTATTAGGTTTTATTTATCTTATACCATTTTTGTTGAGGTCCCAGGATTGATAATACTTTTTTGGGGCGGGGAGGGGGGCGGACCACACCTGGAGAAGCTCAGGGCTGCTCATGGCTCTGCACTCAGGAACTACTCCTGGTAGAGCTCAGGAACCATACAGGAGGGGTACTGGGAATCGAACCCTAGTCAGCCATGTGCAAGGCAAACATGCTCCCCGAAGTACTGTCACACCAGCTCTGATTTCCGACACTGTTACTCAGAGTGTCCATGCATGCATCGTTCCAACACTACACCCTTACCCAGAGTGCCCACTCACAGGGCCCCAGGGGCCCCCACTCACATGTCAGCTCAGTTCTCTAGACACGTTCTCTAGTTCTGGTGACTTTGAAAAAGCTATTAGGTTTTAAAGATCCAAAACCAGAGAAAGTACCTTCTTTTTAACTAGATTTTAATTTGTGGCTAGTGAGAAATTTGTGCTTAGGAGATTCTTTGTGAGCAGTTCTGGTGGGAGAGTTTGGGGGGAAGTTGGCCTTCTAGAGACACTGTCAACTCCCCACACAAACCCGCCCACTGCAGCCTCCAGCCTCCTATGACCAGGGGGTGGTCAGCTCAGGAAGGCAGGGCGCCCAGACTACATTAGGATCCCCATGTTCCTCAGCACCAATGTCAAGTTTGGCGCTCTCTGTGCCCTGATACTCTTCACCAGGGGTGCTCTTGTGCCAAGCCTCACCCTGTGTGTCTTCCTCAAGGTGACCGTCCTGGCCCTGATGACAGTGGAGCTCTTCGGCATGATGGGTCTCATCGGGATCAAGCTGAGTGCGGTCCCTGTGGTCATCCTCGTGGCCTCCGTGGGCATTGGCGTGGAGTTCACTGTGCACGTGGCGCTGGTAAGGGGCCTCAGCCCAGGCAGTGAGCCACCTCCTTCTGGGATAGAGACCTTCTTACTGCTTCCCTTCACCAAGGCACGGTGTGTCCCTTCTCTGGGCGTGGCCAGACTCTGTTTCCAGTCTCAGAAGTGTGAGACAGCTGGCGGCTGCTGTGTCCCTGGGTGTAGGCACAGCGGCGCCATGTGGCCAGCACTCACGTGCTGTGCTTCTGACACACACCGTGCGGTGTCTGGAAGCAGGACACACTCAGTGTTTTAAGCTGCAGTGATTAAGCAGGGATCAGCGGAGCCCACGCTCACAGGCTCGGGAAGGGTGGAATCATTGGGTGAAGTGAATTGGCAACTGCATTCCACCTGTGGCTCGGGTGCCAGTGCCTGAGAGCTGACCTCATCTGCGCCCACCTAGCTCTGGCCCCTCCTCCCGGCCGGCTCCCTGGCAGCAGGAAGTGTGCGAACCCACATTGCATTGAGAATTTTCCCCCGTCTCTGCCTGCCCGTGTGAATGCTTTGCTGGAGAATGCTAAGCTTTCGAGGAGTCACGTCCAGAGATAAGGCCGCCTGCGCACCTACTGATCGAGGCTTGGATGCGGAGGCCTCCTAGTAGTGTGAAGTCTGTTCCATCGAAGTGTGCTCAGAGCTTGAGCTCTTGGGTGATTGCAGCATTCAGTGTACATTGGCTGAGTCACTCCTGCTGCTTAGCCTGGCTGGCTAAAACCCTGGCACTGGACTCTGGTCAGATGAATTTTTGCCTTGCTTTTGCCATCTCTGGCATTAATCATCCTTAGACTTGGGGCCATGGAAGCAGCGTATTTTCACAGAGGCCAGTTTTGGCCTTGGCGTTTCGTATTCCTTCCATGGGGAGATTCTTCCCAGGGTATTTTAATGCAGCAGAGATGTGTAAACTCGCACTTGAGAGAGTACAGGGACTCAGACGCTCACCTGCATGTGGTCAGCTCGGCCCACAGGGTCCCCTGAGCACAGAACCTGGAACATGGCCCTCAAGCATGTCCCTCCAAAGAATTGTAAGTTTAGGCGTTTGGGGAATAACATTGAATTAGAATGATCTCATTCCCTCGCCTCACCCACTGGAATGTTAAGATAAAAGCAGCTCGTTGAAAGAGTCTCCTTTGATTTGGTTTCCCCGATGTCTTATCCCCAGGGTGCTGGGAGGAGAGGGATTCTGTTTTTCTGGAGGTGCCCACTATCCTAGAAATTTGAGACTCAAAGTCGAATAACATTTCTGCAGAGAAGACAGCTTCACCTCAGAGCTAGGCCTCCCCATGCCGTCATCTTCTGATTGTGTATTTAAGAAACCACATCTTCAATGGCGTTGCAGACAGGAGTGTACGGGCGTGCTGAACACAGCCGTTGAACTGTAGTGGAAGCTCAGGTGTCTGTGTCTGGCAGCTGTGAACAGAACCACTGTCCCCGCAGTGTCTGGAAGCAAAGAATGCCCCTGCTGCTCACACAGGGCCGCCTTCTGGGATCTCAGGGACTCCAGGCCTGATCTGTCTCTGTGCAGGGAAGTGCCCCTGCATCCTCAGTAGCAGCACTGCCCTCTCTCAGGACACAATTCTCTTCTGTCCTGTAGGTGAATGTCCAAAGAAAGGAAGTTACTGGGCCAGAGTGATAATACAGTGGAAGGACATTTGCCTTGCATGCAGCTGACTCTCCAGTACCCCATGTGGTCCCCTGAGCCTCACCAGGAGTGATCCCTGGGCACAGAGCCAGGAGTAGGCCCTGAGCACTGCTGAGGGCCTCCCCCAAAACAAAAAGAAGAGCTTTAAGGGTGTGTAGAACATGGAAATAAGTTCAGAGAGTTTGAACAGACTTGATTTCAACTTACAGTTCTGTATTTTTCTTGTAATGCCTTTCTGGTTTCGAACTGTTCATGAGTGCATTATGTTTGAAATAGAATGAAAGAAATTCTAGCCTCAGAGTAATTATGAGGAAATACAGGTTAGCTCTAAGTTGCACGAGTGCTGCCACAAGTTAAGAAAGTTCATTTGGAAGAAAACCTTGCCCATTACAAAAATCAGGCAAAACCCTGGCCTGGATCTTTCTCAGGGAGCTGGCGGGAGGTCATTTTAGTCGGGAAGAGCATGGAGAATGATCAGCAGTGAGAAAGAAGGGACCGTTCTGCTCGTTTCTGTATAAATGTTGACTTTGCCTTCAGAGACGACCGTCCTCACCCAGCACTGCTGCTGCTGAGATGGGCATTGATGCCCAGTGCCAGGGTTTCTCTCGGGCGCAGCCTCATGGCAATGAGCTGAGCTGCAGGCCGTGGCTGGGCAGGAAGCTCTCAGCCCTGGACAGGCGGGGAAAAGTCACTCACGGTGTGGACACCAGACCCGCCCTCATGTCCAGCAGCTTAGTCGCCCCCACCCTTCCTCCACAGGCCTTTCTGACCGCCATCGGCGACAAGAACCGCAGGGCGGTGCTCGCCTTGGAGCACATGTTCGCACCCGTCCTGGATGGGGCCGTGTCCACTCTGCTCGGAGTACTGATGCTTGCGGGGTCGGAGTTTGACTTCATTGTCAGGTGAGGAGCGGGAAAGTGGTGGCAACAGCCCGTCTCGCCTGTTTGTACATGACTGTCTTCCGCTGCACCTGATAATGCTGAAGCATGTTTTATGTCTCTTCCTGCTTGACCACCCCGCCCCCCAACCCCCCTCCCCCCCCACTGTGACTGAGAGATTCTTGACAAATAAAATAGACATGGTCTATGTGTTGTGAAGCTGTTCCTACCATCTGTCACTTCCCTTCTGGAGGTTTTCTTTGCAGCTTGTGTTAGGGACCATCTTGAAGGGAAAAGATGGAAGGAAGTACAGCCGAGCGGATACTTCACAGCCAGTTCCAGATACCCAGATTAGAAATTGCCCCGGGAAGAGATGAACATGGTTCCATTCATTGACCCAATTTTACACTTCAGCACTATAGAAAGGAGAGCTTACCAGTAACTAAAATCGTCTCGCCTAGATAATTCTAAGAAAAGAGAATGTACTCACATTTAATATTCTATTTCCCACTAAGATGTAGGAAGCATTTAACCTTTAACTTTCTTTGTGTCATGTTTTGAAAATTCAGCCCTGGTCTGGACACTCCTCTTTGGATCTCAAGGCAAACAGTTTCTGGGAAACTCAACTAAAAATGTGACTATATAGGAATAATAAAAGGAGAACAAGTTTTTCTTCTTCTTTTTTTTTGGGGGGGGGTCACACCCGGTGATGCTTAAGGGTTACTCCTGGCTCTGCACTCAGGAACCACTCCTGGCAGTGCTCGGGGGACCATATGGGATGCTGGGAATCGAACCCAGGTCAGCCACGTGCAAGGCCCTACCTGCTGTGCTATCAGTCGAGCCCGAACAAGTTTTTCTTTTGAAAATAAGATGGTAGCACTGGGATGTAACTCAGTTGAGCACTTACCCTCGCATGTGCAAGGCCCTGGGTTTGAGCCCCAGCCCAGTTTAAAAAAAAAAAAATTGACAAAATTTTGTTTTGGGCTACACGCAGTGATGCCCAGGGATGGCTCCCGGTAGACTCTGGGGACCGTCAGTGGTCGCTGGCAAGGCCGTGTCCACCCTGCTTTACTGCCCTCCAGCTCCAGTCCAAACTTTTTAAAAAAAAATTTAAAAAAGGAAGCAAGATACTACTATTCTCAGAAAACACTTATTTTCTCCAAATAGCCTCCATAGCTCTGTGGACCTTTCTCTGAGTTGTGACAGCTGTTTTGTGAGGCAGTGTGTGGAATGACATCAGGATCATCAGGTCAGATTTAGAGTCATGGCAAAGTGAAATCAAATTGAAGAAGCGCCAAGCCAGTTTGCCATGACCACTGTCGAGAGGTCATCTGAACAGACTTTCCCAGAGTGCCTACGGTGGGGCCCTCACTTTCGGGCTACCAAAGCTGGTTGGTTGGTTCGGACTGGAGCTGGAGAGCAGTAAAGCAGGGTGGACACGGGCCTTGCCAGCGACCACTGACAGTCCCCAGAGTCTACCGGGAGCCATCCCTGGCATGACTGCGTGTAGCCCAAAACAAAATTTTGTCAATTTTTGAAATGCACCACCTTGTGACATGCCCCAGGGCAGCTCAGTGTCGTGGTGCCTGAGCCCTTCGGGGTGAGTGTGGCAATCCGCTCGCTGAGTCTGGGGGTCCGGAAACGGGCACATGCGCCTCTGCTGTGATCTGTGCGCAAACCTTGTGAGGGTCTCCAACTCCTGCACGTGCTTTCCTGGCACAGGAGTTGCTGCATTTCCCACAGCTCATGGTCCCCCAGACACATCAGCGAGTGCGCCTATGCGGGTGTTCTTATCTTCCTGAGGCAGAGCTCTGTACCCCAGATCCGGCCGTAGTTTGAGGCTGGCCTGTACTAGAAGCTCTTGACTTTGGTTTGGACCTCTACAGGTCAATTGTACTTGTTTCTGTATGGTCTGAGAGTTTTATGTTGAAGAGTTTCTTTTGTGCCATTTCTCACTCAACACAAGCGCATCTCCTAAGTGCAGTTCTGCCTAGCTGTGTTGCCCATGTGCTGCCCCCACAAGGAATCTCCTGACCTATGGAGCTGTAGTTCCCAAGCTGTTGAACACCCTGAGAAGTGCAGGGTGTAGGGGGACCTCAGAGGTCTCCCATCTCCTCCTGGATGATGCTGGGTGAGTCAGGGAGCGGCAGGGCCTGGAAAGCAGACCCCCAGGCCTCCCTCCTGTCCATGAGACGGTTCTCTCGGTTCTCTCGCTGGCGTATCAGTCTTCTTATGTCAAGCACTTAGAAGGGCTCCTCGTTTCCTAGTGCCGGAGGGGTTGACCTGACGAAGCCCTCTCTGGGGTCAGCTAAATGAGCAGACATTGTATACACTGGGCCGTCAGAAATCTAATTGGTGTGTTTATGCTACAGTTAGATGGATGGGATGCAAATGTCTTAATGCCGCTGCTGCTCTGTGCCTCTACCAAAAGTTCCAGCAGTTTACATTAGAGCAAGACATTTGCTGCTTGGGCTTTGCTAATGCAGCTCAGAGTTTCTGATGTTTCTAATAGCTGCGCGGTATTTGTATTTTTATAGGGATTCTCTCTCCTTTCATCTCATGTCCAAACATATATAGGCATGGCAGCATTCGGCGCCTGTTCCGTTTTACGATTAAGAGGACCATTAACGATATGTCACCCTCCCTCTCTCGACATTCTGGGGCCCGCTCCTGCCCCAGCATTTGCAGCAGAATCCCCATAGAATTTGCTGGAGCAAAGCCCTGCTTGCATAGCGCTGCTCTCAGCAGCTGTGTGGAGGGTCGGCCCATAGGTTCACCTTGGTATTCATGAAGGATCCCAGACTTCGCCTTCAATGGTGGGAAAGCAGGGCCACTTGTGTACTCTCCTCTTCTTCATGGTGCTGTGGCCTTTATGTTTGAATTGGCTGACGCAAAACAAGAGTATTCAGAGATGCTAAATTGTTCAACAAAAGATTGGCCCACAGAGCAGCCCCTGCATTGTGGCCCTCCCTCCCCTGAAAATGCCCCAGCAACTACAGAATGGGAAGCACTTTTTTTTTCTCCAGAAAGCTGGTTCCCGTGTTCTAAAAAAAAGGTTGCATTTGGAGCTATTTGGTAAAACTGGAACTCACAGAATTCTAGGCAGAAAGTTGTGATTAATGAAAGCCCAGGGAAAGCCTTACCTGATCGGCTGGAGACTTAATTAGAGCTTCTGCTGAGATGCAGAAGCATTTCACAGTGGATTAGCTGCCTGCAGAAGTGGGCTGCTTTTCCTCCTGGGCGAAATTGTTTAAATTCTACACCCTTCACTTCATTTGTTTGCTTCTGCTGGGTTTTCAAGAACAGGGCCCCTTTGCATTGTGTGTGCATTCAGTCTGCTCAGCCATTCACTCTGCATTCCATATTTTTCTGTTTGTGTTAACACATTCATAAATAACATGACATGCTTTGAGATTTCAGCAAATTATCAAACTAATTTTTCCGCCTTTTCTTTATGAACTAACACTTTAGGTGATGGAATGTAGTCCTCAAAGTCAGAAGGTTAAAAAAAAAATCTAATCTTGTGCTGAATTTGAAGTGGGGTTTAGTGCAGCCTCTCCGTGATGCAGGCTGCAGAGCTTACACTCGGGATGGGGAGCTGCCTGTACTTGTGTGACCATGAACTTTGTTCCCTGCTTGTCTTTAAGGTATTTCTTTGCTGTCCTCGCCATCCTGACGATCCTGGGTGTTCTCAATGGGCTGGTTTTACTTCCAGTGCTCCTGTCCTTCTTCGGGCCATACCCTGAGGTCAGTGATGACAACAGGCTTAGTGCTCAGACCACTATCCCCGGAAAACTATTTTCCTGATACCATTCTTCATTTAGATATGTCCACTTGGGATTATTTGCTTTTTCAGTAACGTAATAACTATGACATTGTAGCCTCTTAAATTTAATAGTGGGGGGAGGGGGCGATAGCACTGGATTGTTTTGGGTGTTTGGGGAGAGGGGTTGAGTTTGGGGGAGGGTTGTTTTGGGTGATGTCTGAGACCACTGGGGCTAGTTGTGATGGTTCTCCAGGGCCCATGCTGTGGCGTTAGACATGGAGAGCCCCCACCCACCCGTCTCCGCCCCAGCCCAGCCCCTGGCTGTAGAGACCTCTTTTTTGCCCCATGAATGACGGCCAAGGTCTCACAGATCTGTATCAGTTAAATACCCCCGTCCTGGGCTGGGGCCAAGAGGACCTGCCCCTTTCCCCGGTGTGAGACAGACCTAGTCTCTCCTGCTGTTCTGAGGCGGGTCCCCAGAACAGTGACGGTGTGCCGGGGCACTGTGCCGTGTGGGCAGCGAGTGAGCCTGCTGACGTTCTTCCTTGCGCAGGTATCCCCGGCCGGCGGGCTGAGTCGGCTGCCGACCCCGTCCCCCGAGCCTGCCGCCAGTGTGGTCCGCTTTGCTGTGCCCCCGGGCTGCCCACACGCAGGCTCCGACTCCTCAGACTCGGAGTACAGCTCCCAGACAACGGTGTCGGGACTCAGCGAGGAGCTGCGCCACTACCAGGCCCAGCAGGAGCCACGGGGCCTGGCCCGCCGCGGGGCCGCAGAAGCCCCTGAGAACCCTGTCTTCGCCCGCTCCACCGTAAGTGCCTGGGTGGGCAGCTGGTTGGGGGCAGCTCCAGAGGCCCGGGGCACTGCCAGGGTCTGTTCTGGGTGGGAGACTGGTGTCCTCTAGTGAGCTGAGGAGAAAGCAGAGATCCCCAGAACAACAGCATCCGCAAGTGTGCTCTTTCTTTTTTTCATTTTACTTTTTTGTTTTTTGGTTATTTGGGCCACACTGGCAGTATTCGGGGCCGACGCCTGGCTCTGTACTCAGGAGTCACTTCTGGTGGGGCTGGGGGACTATGTGGGGTCCCAGGAATCGGACCCAGGTCAGCCGCCCTCTGTACTATTACCCCAGCCCCTCGGAGATACCACCCTTCTCTTGCCGCAAAAGCGAGTTTCCTTCCTGTCCCTTCTGCTCTGTCCTGACTGTTACTGCCCACGACTGGCGGCTGCTTCTAGAAACTGAGAGGGGCAGAGACTGAGACACAGCCGGGGTGGGGTCTGGAGCACGTGGGGGCCGAGGAGGGCCTGAGGTGCTTGCTGTTGTTGGGGGCACGCCTGCTGTTGGTTCAAAGCCCCCTTCCAGGAGCGGGAGGAAGACCGGGCAAGGACCTGTGTCCTCCTCCTGCTGCCCCACTCTCCCCCGAGGGGCCGGCTGTGCGGCAGTGCCATTCCTGTCCTGTCCAGCGGGAGCCTGGAAATAGGTACAGGCTGAATGCCTTTGAAGTTGGTCACGGTACTTTGATGGATGCGGCCACTGTGTCGCGCCGCGCTTTGTTCAGAGACCCAGAAAGCAGATTTCCCGAAAGCCCAGCTGCCCTGCGAGCTGCCGAGGCTGCGGCGCTGGTTCTGCCTGTGAGCAGGAGCTTGGTGCTGAGAGGGCACCTGCCAGGCACTCGCCGCACAGCCCTGTCTCGGCCCACCTGCGGGGTCGCATGGGAGAAGCCCGAGAGAACACGCAGGCGAGGCCGCGGGGGGAGACGCTGAGGGCGGGAGGCCGCGCGGGGTGGTGGAGCCGGGATGGGGCAGTGTGGGTGGCCAGGCTGGGCCCAGCCAAGACGCAGGGCGCTGAGCCAAGCGCCGGCCGCAGCCTGTGCTGACCTGCCCGCCCCTCTGCTCCGCAGGTGGTCCACCCTGAAGGAAGGGCCCCCCCCGCCCCGGAGGGAGCCCCCCCGGGAAGGCTCGCGGCCACCCCCGTACCAACCGCGCAGAGACGCCTTTGAGACCCCTCCTGAGAGACCACCGTGCCCAGGACCCCGGAGCGCCCGTCCACACCGGCACCCCACGCCCGGCTACTGCCCGCCCTTCGCCACGGTGACTGCCTCGGCCTCGGTGACAGTGGCTGTGCACCCGCCTGGCCGCGCGGCCCGGGGAGGCCTGTGTCCCAGCCACGAGGACTGTTCCCAGGCTGGCCCCGGGTGCTTCGCAGACCCCCACGTGCCATCCAGCGTGCGCCGCGAGAGGAGCTCCAAGGTCGAAGTCATCGAGCTGCAGGACGTGGAGTGTGAAGAGACCCCCCAGGGACACAGCTCTGGCTGAGGTGTGGAGGCCATGGGAGGGACACAGGGTGCCGGGCCTGGGCGTCCCCGGAAACCTGTCCGGTGCTCATGCCCGGGCCATAGAGCCTAAGCCTGATGCCCGCGGGGCCTCTGTGGTGTGTGGCCCGAGTCAGGTGGCCAGACGGTGTCTGGGGTCCGTGAGTAGCCACGAGCAAGCGAGTCCCTGTCACCAGCACCCAGTTACTCCGCAATGGGGACTTGCCTGACACCTCTCAAGTTCCCCGCCCCGCCCTTGACGCCTGCCCTCTATAAATCTGCACTCACTTTGACTCGCTCTTACTTGCCTTTTTTAGGCTGAGTAAAATCGGAAGCAAAGAGGCCAAAGATTGGAAGCCCCCGTCCCTGCCCCCACCTCCTTCCAGAACTGCTTGAAGAGAAGTGTTGGAAGTTATAAATACAGCTGCACCCCAGGAGCAGTGTATTGTTACTGTAACCAATTGTATCATTTTGTGAAATATTTCTATAAATATTTAAGAGGTGTACACATCTGTAATATAGGAGGAGTGATGTAAAGTAGTGTGACGTGGCTCTCCCCACACAAGCCCCAGGGCCTTAGCACGGCCTCTCCCTGTTTGTACATTGGTCTTGTGCCACAACCAACCTTAACTTACTCTTAAATTCCAGCATATGTTGCTGCTGCTTAAATATTGTATAATTTACCTGTATAATTCTATGCAAATATTGCTTATGTAATAGGACTATTTTGTAAAGGTTTTTTTTTTTTTAAAAAAATATTTTAAGTTTGCATATCACAACCTGTGGTAGTCTGAAATGTTACTGTTAACTTGCAAACACGCTATGCGTGGTAATTTTGTGGTTGTTTAATGAGCAGACATGAAGAAAGCATGTTAACCCCAGTGGCTTCTCTCTCCCGTGTGGCTGCGTGTGTGGGCGTGTGTGACTTCCCAGCATTACTGTACTGTGATTTTTTTTTCCTTCTCACTTTTGTAACCCTCAGTGGGTTGTGACCTTGTCAGGCTGGAGGAGTCGGGTGTCTTCACAGCTTTCATAGCGGGCTTGTCCTAAGTGTTGCTCTATTCTTCTGTCAGACCTGCTTCAAATCCATGGTCTCTCAGCCCTGAGACATCCCCTCATGCCTCAGAAGCTGCACTGGTGACATAGGCAGTGCAGTCGGTAGAGCTCACTTCTCTTCATCTTTGGTCATCAGAGAGCCACGTGCTTAGCTGTGACCCATAGCTAAGCCCCTGCTGGGCCGGTCTCCTGAAGCAGGCAGCCCTCACTGACTAACCCTTGTGTACCCCACAGCTCACCCCGGCTTACCTAAACCTTGGGGTGAATTGGAAAGATTCAGAGGGGAAGTCCCCACCCAAGGTTCATCTGGACCCACCATCAACCCAGAGGGACGGTTCCTAGGCCCTTCTGAAGCCCCCCTTTTAAATTGCACAGTGGTTGGGAGTTTTGGGATTCTTTTTTGTTTGTTTGTTTTTTAAGTAATAAAGGGCCTCCAGCATGGGCACAGGAGCTGCTGGGGAGTGAGGGCTCCGAGGCCCTCCTGAGCCGTCCTGGGTCCACGGGCCCTGATCGAGTGCAGAGTCCCCTGCACACAGTCATGAGCCGTGAGAAGCAGGGGAGGGATCTCCCAACCAGGATTCTTACAAATTTTTAAGATTTGCTTCTGAACCCTCTGCCAGCTTGCTCTGAGGCCTGGGCTCACCTGCCTCTTAGCCAGCCGCTTGCCAGGGCTGCACTTGCCATGCAGCTCAAGCTACTGTGGGAGCATGGGACAGCCCTGTGGTGCCACCTGGAACATCTTCATGGAAAGCCTCCAGCCCCTCGGTCCCCAAGCACAGGACCTCCGAGCCTGCAGCCTGCCCCACGCAGGGTGCTCTCGGGCTCCAGGTTGATACTCGCATGCTGGCTCTGGCGTCTGCTGCTGCGGGTCAGCCACGGGGCTGGTCTTCCGGGGTCCAGCTCTGCTCGGAAAGTGGCCACAGTCAGGGTCACCCTTCCTGCACTGGCCGTGTGCTCAGTGGCCGCCGTATGCACGGCCTGGGGCTCCCCGCGTCAGCAGCACTGGGAGAGGTGGGGACTGGCGGGCAACGGGATCTCACTTTTAAATAGTTTTATTTTGTCTGTCTTGTTTATTTGGATGTTTTAATTTTTTTAAAGTCTTTGCTGATATTTATAATTTTGTATCATAAGAATGTTTTCCTACAGTATTTGTCATGCCAGTTTATAACAAAAAAAAAATGCAGGGATTTTATTTGTATTGGAAACACTATTACAGCTATGTTTTGAACAGAATTTTTATTTGTATAGAGTGCTTACTAATGTTAAATAGTTCAGAGTATATAACATTTTCATTAAGGACTCATGGTAGGATGTAGTGTAAGGAGATTAAAGGAAATAAATATTCAAACTGGGTCTCATTGTCTGCCAGTTTTGGTGGAAATGGGTTTGTATCATTTCAGTTACAAAGATAAAAGTATGCCATATAATTTATTTATATGAAAATTTATTTTTGTAGTGTACATAGTAGTCATCAAGTCTTTTGACAGAAGTATATTTTTAAAGAATTTATATGTGATGAATCCATAATGTCTGGAACTTTGCTGAGACGTGCATGGGGCAGACTTTTTGTTGTAAAGTACATCAAGAGAAGGAAAATGTCTAACAGTGTTAAGAGAGTGTGATTGAGTGAATATTCACACGATTATAAACCATGTATTAGCTACCATTTGTGACCTAGTGTGGTTTTTATTTTAAAACTTGGAAGGCAGAAATGTACAAACTCTCTGAATATTAATGTTAAAACACTGATAGAAACTCTAACATGAATAAAAAATAATATAACTTGTTGGCTACGCCTTTGTTCATAGAATTTCTTAAAGTACTTATGAAGATAGGGCATGTCAAGCTACCTTAAATATTACTTTGTCATTTCATCTTCCTAACTTTGTTGCTCTCTTTTTCATTCTACTTCGTGGAGGCATTGTTGATATTAGAAGGGTTCGATGTGGTTATTTTCTGACACCACAAAAGTTCCTAAATTACCTTCAAAATGACCCCTCTGTCACCTCTTAGACTTCCTGTTTTCTTATGTGATGAGAGACTATTATTGTAAAGATAAATTCCTTGGGTGTCAAAGTAAATGAGAATGTCATAGTTAATAGCTGATGATAAGACTGATTGAACTTGATACAAAGTGTTTTTTGAGTATTTGTGTTATACTCTTCATCACAGCCAAGGAGAAAGATAAAACCAGGAATATCACCCATTTTATAGCTGAAACTGAGGAGGGAGGACTTGAAAATCAAATTGCTTTAAGTATGTCGCCAAGTCAATAAAGGGCAGCCTCGTGCCGATCCCAGTGATGTAAGCACTGAGGGGGCACACATGCCCACCCACATGTGCACTGAATGCTTGAGCCCAGCAGCTGCAGCACAGACTGGGCTGCAAGCTTTAAATACTGGCCAGCCTGGGCTCCACGGTGTCACCCAAGACCTGCCAAGCCAAGACCTCCTGGAGGGAGGGCTGGGTCTCCGCCTTAATGAGCTGTCCTGATGTTCCAATGCACCAGAGAGGTAGCATTAAATTCCTTCCAGCTGGATGCAGCCCTGGTTCTGTAATCTGGCTCAGACTGCAGTCAGTGAAGGCCAGATCTGGAAACAACATGGAGATTCCCAACTGTTCTGTGTGGTCTTTTCACAAAAACACATGTTCCTCAGTGGGAAATGCAGAGACCAGAGCTCCACACTTGTGTCTGGACGTCCGGAGAGGATGATTCTCGCTCAGTGCTCCACTACCACTTGGGGCCAGCTGCCCAGTTACGGGGCTCCCCACCCCACCCCACTTCCCATCTTCTAGTGAGAAGGGCCAGTTCACAGATTGAGTGGAATTAGTTGTTTGAAGAGGGTGTTGATGGTCCTGGCCTGGCGGCAAGGCTGGTGAGGGGTGTGGGGCAGCGGAGATACTCCGTGAGGCCTGCACCTCATTTTGCTTCAGTCACAAACCTCCTGTGTCCTTTTGTAAAGATGTGAGCTTATGTGGACTTTCTGTACTTCTGAGTCCCTATGTGAAGGTAATAGAATAATCTCTGACCACAGAAAAACAGTTGATGACATGGTGTCTAGAAAAAAAAAAAGATTCGAACATTATAAACTGTTACCTGACTTAGGGTAGGAGCGATAGCACAGTGGGTAGGGCGTTCGCCTTACACACGGCCAACATGGCCGACCCGAGTTCGATTCCTCCGCCCCTCTCGGAGAGCCCGGCAAGCTACTGAGAGTATTCGATATGCCAGACACGGTAACAACAAAGTCTCCAATGGAGATGTTACTGGGCCCGCTCGAGCAAATCGACGATCAACGGGAGGGCCTTTACCTTTACCTTTTTACCTGACTTAGAACTTCATCTTTCACTATAGTTAGGGGTTTGTTTTTAAACCAAGCCCTTCAGTGGTAAAATTTATATTTTTTTCAGCCATACCTGGCAATGATCAGGGTTTATATTGCCACCAACCCGGGGTTCGATCCCCAGCCTCCCATAGGGTTCCCCAAGTACTGCCAGTAGTTATTTCTGAATGCAGAGCCAGGAAAACACACACACACACACACACACACACACACACACACACACACACACACACGAAAAGACTGAGCCCAGGGATCACTCCTGGCAGATCTCTGGTGACTTACAGAGTGCCAGGGATTTAACCCAAGCTTGCTCTGCAAGGAAAGTGCTTGCCCTCTGTATTACTGCTCCAGCCTCTTAGAGAAGAGCTGTATGTTGACAAGTGACCATTACAATCTGATTTATAATATACGTAAGTTACATCACTTACGTAAGCTTAGACTTTCATGCTGGCCTAGGAGAACTGTTAATCAGATTTATATCACCAAATCTACTGTATTTATGCAGGACCCAATTTTATTTTGCTTCCATAACAGACATTTATTTAACAGCCTTGAAAATGCTGTATGCTATAAATTTCAGGCAGCAGTCTCATTGATATGAGGG